GGGGGGGGTGACACGGCTGAGTTGTTGCTCTGTGTTGTCCCCACGTGTCCCCATGTGCCCGAGCTATGCATTCCTGTGGACGGGTACCGTGTGGACTCGCAATGAGAAAGGGAGGGTTCAGATTGTGTTGCACATTTTGTAGGAAATGCACTTTTAAAAGAGGGAAAGCTGAAAAAAGAAAAAAGAAAAAAAAAAAAATCACAAAAGAGGAGGAGGAGGAGGAGGAGGAGGAAGAGCAGACAGAGCCCAGCACTGGTTTTGCTGGGGTGGATGGTTTGGGATTTTTTGGGTGTTTTTGTTTTTTGTTTTTTTGTTTTCTAATTGCAAATACGATGGAGGAAAGGAGGAGAGTGAAGGCACTGCAGAGCCCCCCCGGACCCCCCCACCCTCCCCCCACCCCCATTGCTTCAAGTGCCTCAATCCCCCATGGTGGGGCTGGGAGATGACAAAGCCCCTGCACCGGGCACTGCTGCACCCGCACCGAGCATTGCACAGCTGCACCAAGCATTGCACAGCTGCAACCAGCATTGCAGAGTGTCACCAAGCATTGCACAGCTGCACCCAGCATTGCAGAGTGTCACCAAGCATTGCACAGCTGCACCGAGCATTGTGCAGCTGCACCAAGCGTTGCAGAATGTCACTGAGCATTGCACAGCTGCACCAAGCATTGCACAGCTGCACTGAACATTGCGCAGCTGCACCAAGCGTTGCAGTGTCACCAAGCACTGCACAGCAGCACTGAGCATTGCACACTGGTGCTGGTGCAGTCGCACACCAACTTTGGAGCATTGCACATCGCTGCACGCCGACGCTGAGCATTGCCTACGTGAGCGGAGCATCGGTTTTCCAGCACTGCAGCGTTGCACATCTGTACCAGAGAGCTGCACATCTGCCGCCCGAGCAAACAGAGCATTACACAGCTGAGCACCAGAGCGTTGCACACCAGTGATGTGCGTTGCACACCGGCACCGGAGCGTTGCTGTGCTTGCAGTTGGCTGCAGCAATGCACACCAGCACCGGAGCATCTCTTGCTGGTACTGGAGCATCGCAAACCAAGACGCAGGCATCGTTTGCTGGCACCAAAGCATCACATATTGACCCGAGAGCGTTGCAAACTGACAGCAGAGCATTGCAGGCTGGCAGCAGTGCGTTGCACGCTGACACTGGAGCACTGCGCTCCAGCACCAGAGCATTGCACGCTGACATCAGAGCATTGAAACACTGGCACCAGAGCATTGCAAACTGACCCCAGAGCATTGCACCGGCACACGTGAAGACCCAGAGGTGTCCCTGACCCGTGGAGGATATCTCTGTGCCCACGTGGAGGTCGTGGGGGCCGTGCCACCCCATGGGCAGTGCCTTAGAGCAGAGGGACCCGACATGTGGCCCCCATGGACGAGGAGGAGGAGGACAGCAAAGGCCCCAGAGGGCAGCGTTGTGTCCCTAAGCCACCGCCACCTGGGTGTCATTGTCACAATGGGGCGCTGCGCTCCTGGAGCCAACCTGCGGGACCCATGGACTCCAGAGACCCCACAGACCCATATGGACCCCATATGGACCCCATGGACACTATGGACCCCATGAACTCCAGAGATCCTACGGACCCTACAGACCCCATGGACTCCAGAGACCCCCATTGATCCCGGAGACCCCATGGACTCCAAAGACCCCACAGATGCCATGGAACCCATGGACCCCACAGACCACATGGACCCAATATATGACATGGAACCCATGGACTCCAGAGAGCCCATTGATTCCACAGACCCAATGGACCCCACAGACCCCTTGGACCCCATAGACTCCACAGCCTCCAGAAACCCCCATTGATCCTGTGGATCTCAGAGACTCCACAGATCCCACGGACCCCAAAGACCCCATGGACTCCATGGACCTAATGGATCCCATCGATCCCATTGACCCCAAGGAGCCTACAGACCCCAAGGACCTACAGACTCCATGGACTTCACAGACGCCACAGACCCCATGGACCCCAAAGACCCCTTGGACTCTATGGACCCCAAAGACGCCACAGACTCGTTGAACCCCATGGACTCCAGAGATCCCATTGACCTCATGGACCCCACAGACTCTATGGATCACATAGCCTCCATGGACCCCAAAGACCCCACAGACTCCATGAACCCCACGGATCCCATTGACCCCAAAGACCTCATGGACCCCACAGGCCCCTTTGACCCCATGGAACCCACAGATTCCATGGACCCCACAGATCCCATGGATGCTATGGACTCCAGAGACCCCAGGGACTCTACAGACCCCAACACATCCCATGGACCTAATGGACCCCACAGATCCCATTGACCCCATGGACCTCACAGACTCCACAGCCTCCATGGACCCCAAAGACTCCACGGACTCCATGGACCTCAGATCCCATTGACCCCAAGGACCCTACAGACCCTACGGACCCTACAGACTCCATGGACCCTACAGATCCCACAGATCCCATTGGCCCCCAAGGACCCCACAGACTCCATAGCCTCCATGGACCCCAAAGACTCCACGGACTCCATGGACATCATGGACCCCACGGATCCCATTGACCCCAAGGACCCTACAGATCCCATGGACCCTACAGACCCCACAGATCCCATTGACTCCAAGGACTTCACAGACTCCACAGACTCCATGGACCCCAAAGACCCCATTGACCCCATGGACCCCACAGATCCCATGGATGCTATGGATCCCAAGGACCCCAGGGTCTTTGGACCCCACAGATCCCATTGGTTCCCATGGACCCTACAGACCCTAAGGACCCTACAGACTCCATGGACCCCACAGATCCCATTGACCCCCAAGGACCCCACAGACTCCATAGCCTCCATGGACCCCAAAGACTCCACGGACTCCATGGACCTCAGATCCCATTGGACCCCAAGGACCCCACGGATGCCATTGACCCCAAGGACCCTACAGACTCCATGGACCCTACAGATCCCACAGATCCCATTGACCCCAAGGACCCCACGGATGCCATTGACCCCAATGACCCTACAGACTCCATGGATGCTATGGACCCCAAGGACCCCAGGGTCTTTGGACCCCACAGATCCCATTGGACCCATGGACCCCACAGATCCCATTGACCCCAAGGACCCCATGGATCCCATTGACCCCAAGGACCCTACAGACCCTAAGGACCCCGCAGACTGCCCACATCCCACTCCATCCCACTGCAGACGGTGACGCCGTGGGGATCAGAGGGGGGGAAGAAAACAACCAAAAACTCAACACCCCCCCCCCAAAAAAAAAAAA